ACATTGTAGCTTTGATAAAAATCAAGAGAATTGTCAAGTTATGCAATTTAATAAAATCGCCCAGTAGCTATTCTAAATTATCGATACAAATATTTACAAAATGCCCAAAAGGTGGCTTTATATCAATTATTAAATATCTCCGAAAATGAATTTGTAGTTTACAATATTTGTTTACTTATGATAAGAAATCTCACTCAGCGTTAATCTCATTGTAATTTAAAAGACAGGATAATAAATCTGTCCAAACAACAAATAAACTTATACTGTGATTGGTTGTCATCCAACTATTCAGACAGTGCCAAACCAGTATAAAGATTATAAAAGGACAGACAGTCATACTATGCCCAGTAATAGCAGTGTAACTTCAGTCATGACTAAAATACCGTATAACAAGAGTATAGGTTCAACGTTTCGCTTGGTGGAGAAAAACGGTTGCAACACTCCATGTTACTGTGTCAGCTGCAAACAAGACTCTGAAGAGTGTACACGCAATTGGTAATGTTATTAACAGAAGTGGTCATTTAGTAAACAAAATCTCCAAAAGCGTTATAAAATATCTCAGGATATGTTCTTTGCCAGATCTTGTTGTAGATGTGAATGTTACCTCGAGAACAGTACGACACTCATTAGCATGAAGAGGCCTCAGTGGACTTGTAGCTGTTTAAAAATAGTTGCCGAGAAGAAGTAGCCAAACATGAGATTGAAATGGGCATTGGAATAACAAAAGCTGGAGACATGTGCTCCTTACAGATGGATCCAAGCTCGAATTTTTCTGTAACAATCAGCTACAGATAATATAATAGTTGCTGAAAAGACCAGTATCACAATCAACATACAATTTCTACAGCAAAGCATGGTTGGTGCTGCGTATCAGTTATCAGTGTAGCTGATCTACACAAAATGATGGCACCTTGACTGCTGACAAGCATATTTTCTTCTAATCTATTAAGCCATCCCCTACGGAACACAAGGGGTGAAATTAAGGGGTGAAACACCTACTGTGGTGAAACAACACCTCGATGGTAAGAAGGCAGATGGAACACTCACAACCACGAATTGGTTTGCATAAAGTCCCGATGTAAACATTCTCGGAAATGTAAAAACTGAGAATGTCAAACCCGGTTTCTAGCATTGTAAGTCCGCAGACATACCGCTGTGCCATGGGGGGCGTTACTGAAGAACTTGTCTGAATTGCAGGGTGTAAAACAGACTATTATGAACAATATGCTATAATCATACACTGATAAAATGTATTGCAGCAT